CTGCGGAAGCAGCCAAGATACTGGTCCAAAACTCCTGGAGCTGAGGAGTTGCCCACAGTTAGTAGTCAGCATCCAGCTGAGATGAAGCTGGGAGCCCATGTGGACATTCCTTTGGAGAACTGCTGTGGGCTTGAGTGCAAATGCTTAAGACACATCCAAGTATATGTAATTAATGACCATGAATCCTAAGCATGAACATAAAGCCTCACCCTCTCTCTTCTCATGTCTTCATGCCCCTACTCTGGAGTGTACCTGCTTCAACCTTTCAAATCATTTCTGTTGTTCTTCCCTACCCCGCTTCCTCTCTGGAAATGTGCACTCCCTTGTGATTACACCTCGGCCCCTGGTCCTCTACATACTTGGTCTTTCAGAATTTCATTCACTCGCAGATCTTCCATTCTGACTTCCATGGAGGTAATTCCTTGGATGCACACTCTGGCCTGATCTTTCTTCCTAGTTCTAAGTCCATTATCTTCAACTGCCTGCTAGCTATTTCCTCACCTCCAACTCAGTATATAACATTTAGTTTGGTTTTTTCACCTCTCACTTCCTTATTTCTTTTAATGGTACCAACTGGGCACTTTTATTCCAACTCAAAAATCATAGAGTCATATTTTAATCTTCTCTCTCTGACTTTTAACATCCAATCTCTCAAATTCTTCAAAATGTTGGGTTTTTTTTTTTTTTGCATCTTCTCTTCCTTCCTGTTTGGTTCAGATCTTTATCCTCTTATTTCCTGAATTCTGAAATGCCTATATTTTCATAATTTTTACATCCCTAAAATCAAGATTTATTTTATAATCAGTGTATACATTTAGTGTAGAGTTTCTTATTACAAAAGTATGTCATGTCCATAGTGCCTTAGAATAAAAAACTATAGCATCTCAGACCTAGATTAATGTGCTTCCACTTGCCCTTCCAGTCTGTGTTCCCTTGCGTTTCATATCTGTCCTGCACACTACTACCTGATTAATCTCCTTAAAAGACTGCTTCCATATGGTCTTTTTTTTTTTCCTGCTTACGGGAAACTTCAGTGGCTCCCCACTCCCTCTAGGTAAAGTTATCAAAGGTCCCTTTAATCATGCACTGAACTCTTCCTGGTCCTTACCAACATTATTCCCCTACCCAGATCCTTCTGCTCTGAACCAGATCCTTCTCTGCCTCTGTCTGTATCATTTTCACAATTACAAAGCTATCCTCCTCCTACTTACACCCTGCTCAGGCTTCA